AACGCGAAACCCCTCTCACTTGTTCTCTGCCCCCTGTTACTTAGAGTGTGGAGATCACCACCACCCAAAAGCCCCCGCCCGCGGGGGGCGGGGGGGGGGGGAATTCTGGGAGATGAAGTCCACTCATCTTAAAGTGGCCAAGGTTGAGAAACACTGGGTTAAGCTGTTTCCCCAGAAAAAGATTCAGGTAAATATAAATGGGTTCTGAGGCTCCCCTTGTTTTCCTTCCTCACTTCCAATAGTTAAGAATGAGGCCTTGGGATTGGAATCAGGCACAACCGAGTGCTGACTTCAAGGGGCCTTGCTCCCCTGTCATATAGCAGCCTGACAAACAAGGGAGGGAGAAAAATCAGGTGTTAAACTTCTCCCTATCAAGTACTGGACCAAGTCAATCCGTGCTGCCTTGTTCTATGCCAGGACGGGTCATTTCTGTCCAATTGTGATTATGCTTTTAACAGTTTGTTTCCTTTTAGGCCCATGTGAGGGGTTATCTTCTCAGAAAGAGGCTTCAGAATATACGGAGCAACTATGAGAGCATTGTAAAGGAAATTGAAGGGAATCTGGATTGGCTCCAGTGGACAAGCCATTCCTTACCCAGACCCGTGTTTCTCTCAAAGGTAGAACTGTTAATACGTTCAGCTCTTAGCAGAAGTGGCAGTATTGATCCTTGTTTTTTGAATTGCTCTGGGGGATGGGAAGGAAAATAATTACATTCAATAAAGGCAGTGCCTCTATTATTATAGTTGCTATTGGTAATTATAGGCAAAAGGAAAACCAGTGGAAGTGTGGGAGGAAGACCAAATTCTCTTTCACTGGTCCACTTATTTATGTGCTTGCTGTGAAGGAAGGGATTCTTCCTCTTTTATAGCTAGAAAAAAATATATTGGGCTGATAGAGGAAGAATATGATGATCCACCTCTCCTCCCCCACCAGTAGCCTTCAATTTGATCTTAGCCAAAGAGAAAGAGAAGCACCTTCTTCTGCGACAGAGGAAACATAGTAGTCACATAGGAAATGAATAGATTGCTAGCGCAGAAGATCTTTGGACAGCTGTGAACTAGTCAGGTGGACCCTTCGAATAGCTGCAGCTACTTTGCAGCTCCTGAGAATGGATCCAGACAAGCAATTTATTGGATGACTTTCACAAGCATAATATTTTAATTAAAACCAGGTTTTCTTTAGCCTCTTTTAGCCTCTAATAGATTGCACTACTTTATATTCTGCTTTTGACACAATATATTAATGAAAATGCTCATTAGGACTTGAGGATTTGGCTAGAAATAACCAAATATGTCTGTCTGTCTGCACAGCTGGTCTGTTGCTGTTGTTGTAATGTCTAATAGGAGAGCTTGAATTAATGTAAGATTTAGCCAGGTAGATGGGAGTTCAAGTGGGTTTTTCTCCTCAGCCTTGGTCATTAGCTTAAACTCAGTCTTTTCCACTGCTTTCACCTGAGTCATGCAATTATTCTGAATTAGAACAGAAGGCGAAGGTGCACTGTGAGATGAAACCTTTATATATTCTCAGAGGCTAAGTTTACTTAACATGCTGGTCCCTACCCAGGTTAATGGCACACAATGTAGTACAGTATAAATGTAGTTCATACTACATCTGATACTCAAATAAAGCCATATTATAGCTTAATGTGGTAACTTGTATTCATGTAATCTGCTAAGGCAATGGTTGGGTGCCCAAAACACACCGAATCATGAATTACTTTGCATTAGACTAACATTAGATGAACCCGATCAGACTTTCTCCTCATCTTGTACCCAATTAGGTGACCCTATAAATTGATTGAATGCATGAATAAATCTCTGGTGTTTGGGCCAATGCAGTGCTTTGCAGCTTTTTCAGGAGATTTATTCTACTTCGCTTCTGTGTTTCTGGGGTTCCTGAGTTACCCTATTAAACCTGATGCAGAAAAGCAGCAGAATTCTGTTTCTGGTACAAGGAAGGTTGGACATTGGCCAGAATAGAATGAATTGGAGGGCAGTTTCTTTGTAGGTGGGTAGTTGAGCTGATGGCATCTTTAAGAGTTTACTGATTTTTCTTTACTCCTCAGTTAGGAATTAATAAATTTTGTCTTCTGCTTTTTTTTTTCCCTCTGGATGGGGATAAATTTCAGATGGGTTTGTTGTAACAAAGCTAACAGTCTGGTGGCAGACAGTATAGAATGCTGCTCCTTGCCCATGAAACTATGTCATATAAATACACATTAAAGGATATATGTGTGACAGGATGTGCAGTGTTCTGTGCAACACAAAGCTGCACTTTTAACTAGAAAGGATCTTGCTCTAGACATAATAATAGTTCCCTTTTTAAAGGTAATCTTTTTATTTTTTTAGCTACATTCTGCTCAGAAATCAATGAAGGCAAAGAAATTCAATAGAGAAGAGCTTGAAGCTGATGAGCCACAAAAACAGGACACACAACATAGTCAAGAGGTGTTACCATCTAAACAAACATGTGATTTTGAGATGCAGTTTCCAAGCCGACTTCCAGCCGAGGTGACAGCAGAACCCGAGGTTGGTGAGGCAGGAGAGAGTCTAGAGCAACTTGCTCGCCCTGGGAATGTCTGCAGCCGGTCAGGAGAAAGTGAGGAATGCAGGGAACCCAGCAGTGTCTCGTCTGACTGGAGCAGCACGATTCTGGGCATGGAGTCTCCCAGGTCGAGCCAGGGTAAGTTAGGGGCTGAAAGAACTTTGGACTTCAGCCTCCCCTTTGGTTAACTGGGCAGGGAGTTACTACATCTGCACATACCAGTCCCTTGCCCAGCTTGAAGAGGGAGAGGCAATCATGTTTTCTGACACTCTTGCTCTTTTCTTATCCAGAGCCTCATTTCCCCAAAGCACCAGAAATGCCCAGAGTGATGCCTGACCTCCAGAACTACCGAAAGCACCTGGCCATGGAGCTGCTATGGCTGCAGCAAGCAATTGTCAGCCGTAAGAATGTAAGAACGCTGCCTTGGGGTCACTTGCTAGTCTTCCGTCTGGCAGATTCTTGGGGAAGTGAGTGTTTCCAGAGGCAGCCATAACCCAAACCCCTGGTGCTCTGGCACAGTTCTGTGATCCATCGCTCCTTCTGTAAGGTGATATATGCCATGTGAAGGAGAGGAATTTCAGCATCATCCCAGCCTTGAGCAGAAGCAGGTGGCCTTGGAATGGTCCCTCGGGGTGTGGGTGTGTACGTGCAGGCTTCTTTAAAATTGGACAGGGGCTTAAAATTATGGTGCCCTGGTCTCCTTTGGAATATAGTGGCTAGTATTGTACTGTATTGTTTGTTGTAATGTTTAAAATCAGTCGTGTTTTAGGGTATCTGCAAAAGTTGATTTCATTTACTTTCATTTGTTTTTATTTCTTTTTATTTCTCTCACCCCTCATAGTATTTGATCCTGAAACAGAGATTGGGGAACCCAGACTGACAGCTCACCTGTGATCCTTTCATACAAAATGGAAGCACACCCTTTACCTGCTGCCTCCAGAAAGGAAGTGTGGAGATGCAGGCAAGGTGTCATTTTTCCTTGGAGATGGCCACAACCTGAAGTCATCTTTGAGACTTACGAGAGTAACTGTGAAAATGGGAGACTGTGAAAGCTTTTCAAGTCCAAGGTTGGCATATTTTTGGAATTGCATTTGAAAAGAACAGGGTTCATTGCAGAAGATTCTTTTGTGCCCTTTTGGCAGAGCAGAGACTGAACATCAGTTTTAACAGGCTTTGCAAAGCCAGCTAATGATCAGCAGGCTTTGGAAGCTGCTGTATATGTGTGACCTTTTTTTCCCTATAAGTCACATTTTGGGCTAGAAAGTTCTCAATTTTTGGAGATTATTCCAGAGTCACTGGAAATCCAAGAGTTATCCACTGGGCTGCCTGTACTGTAGCTGGAAACTTTGTTTTCTTCACATCTGGGTTTTGTGGCTACCTGGGTGCCGATTGTTCTGTAAGTTTGTACTGCACACATGTTTCTACTGTTTTGCTGGCTCATCACTTGAACTTTGGATGTCCTGTTTCTATTGTTAAATAAAACATTTTCTCCTCCATTCCCCTTTTCTGCCCATGGGTGTAAAATTAGGCAATACCCCACATTTTTCAACTATGGTAAGCAGTATGAACCTATTTGTTTTGGTGGATTTGTACCTGGCATTTTGGGCAGGCATCTTATTTTATATGCCCATCTCACCCCTTCAGGCTTCCTGGAGAGGGGCTGTTGTGAGTTCTCTCATTAGTTCAGTTCAGTTCAGTTCAGTTCTCATCAAAGATTCAACAAGTGGCTGCCAGAGAGTTTGTTTTTTAAAATATATTTTTAGTAGACACTTTAAAGAAAATATACATCAGGGAAGGGAAAGGAACAAAAGAAAGGGGTAGAAATAAGATACAAACGGATAAACAAGGGATTTACAAATGATAATAGTTTTCCAGTATAACATTAACTGATCGTGAATAACTAATATATTTTTAAAGGCCTGAAAATCACTAATAAGTTCTAGGCAAAGCATAGATATCAGGACACAATAGAAATCATAGAATGAGATTGTAAACTTCAATAAACTCCAATAAAATTTCTATAAAAATGAAATATTTAATAATTTATATAAAATATAATGTATAAAAAATAAAATTCCTATAAAATTGAAATATAGATTTTAATCAAAGAAAAACCCAAATTTTGGATGTGGTATAAATCTCTAGATTGAAATGTAGTCTAAGAATTGTTTCCAATTCTGTGTCAGATTTACTTTGAAGATGTGAGGTTATTTTAGACATTGGAGTATACTCCCACAGCTTAGTTAACCATTCTTCCCTAGAAGGGATCCAACACCCTTTCCAATAAAAAGCAAAGCTTCCAGACAGTTTCTTCTTGTTCATCTCATTAACAGTGGTCAATCTGGATAGCTGGCTTCTCAGAAAGGAGTAAACATCCCCTTTTCAAATGACACCTTCAGAACTTCAAAAAGCACAACAATATTTCATTGGAAGTATAATAAAAATTGGGTTTGCAATCCTTTAAATTGAATTATTTCATTTTTAAAAAATTACTAACAATTTCATATATAAAAGAGCCTGATTTTACGGGAACATGTGGCTGGGGAATTCTGGGAGTTGAAGTCCAGACATCTTAAAGTTGCTGAGGTTGAGAAACACTGCCCTAAATTAAACGAGGCAGTAGCAATACTGTAGTGTGATTTTTAGACAAAGACTCCCAGAGTGGGTTAGACTAGATCAATCACAAGACAGCCCCTCACATGCAAGCTTGAACATTACTATAAAAAGTAGAAAGCGAAAGGAGGAACCATTTAGGGAGAGAGGCTAAACTAGCAGCAGAGCAAGGAATAATAAACTTCTCTGGCAGGACTCGTCAGTCTGATCTTTAGTTTTTTAAGGGGATTCGGGAAATGGCAGGATCTGCTGGTCTTATGAATAAGTTGAACAACGGGGCCAAGGGCAGAGAGACCCCCATAGCCATTTTGTCACTGGGCATTGTTGCTTTGTTGTATTGATAGTTTTTGTTTCCTTCCTAATCCACTTGTGCGTTTCACAATATCTGCAAAATGGATTTGCGTTTTACGTGAGCTGCTCACCACAACCTCAAGATCCTCTTGTGGTGCTTGCCTTTCCAGCCTGGTGGCAGTATCTGAAGAGGGGCATAAGGCTGTTTGTAGTGGGTGGGTGGGAGGTGAAAAGTCTACACTGTGGTAAAAGCTTCACTCTGCACTGCGGGGTTCATGGCATATTTCGCCCAAGAACTTTCACTTGAGTTGGGCAAACCTGGCTTAGCCCCAGGCACATGCACTGGATCGAGCTGAGGCAGAAGAGTAAATTGGAGCAGAAGATTGTCTTTGTAGTCCCACCTTCATTACTTCACTACCTCTGACCTCACGGGTAACATGATGGGCATGAAAAAAACAGTTGCATCCCTAACCCCTTATTAGGGCTGCCGTTGCCGCCTCCAGTACCAAAAGAAATGCTAGTTGTGCTCCTGTTGACGGGTGTTCTGCTCTTGTTATTAAACAGACTCATAAAGGAAGTATTTCTGCCACGGACACACCCTAGTCTAGTGTGGACTGTGCATGTCTAATGAAGTCTTTCATCAAGCAGAGGGCACTCCCTCTCACACCTTGTTGAACTGGCAGCTATGGAAACGGCAGAGCTCTCATCTCAGAAGACAGCCTGGTGCACTCAGACGGAAAAAGTTGGGTCATTCGCCTTCAGAGGCCCCCAAAAGTGCCCTTCCATCCTCTGTCAGGGAGCTTTCCCAGACAAGCAGCCTGGTGTCTGCGGACCAGGAGAGATGAGCTCGGGGACCGTGGCAGTGGCGCCCCTTGCTAAGAACGTGGTGGTCTTTCGCAATGGGGACCCCTTTTTTCTCGGACGGAAATTTGTGGTGAGCCAGCGCCGGTTCCTGACCTTTGAGGCCTTTCTGAATGAGGTGACCAGCACCATCCAAGCCCCAGTGGCCGTTAGGAGCATATACACGCCCCGACAGGGTCATCGCATCACGGAGCTAAGCGAATTGCAGAACGGTTGCCAGTACGTGGCTGCAGGATTTGAACGGTTCAAAAGGCTCGAGTAAGTAATCCGATCAATCTTTCTTACAGTCATAGGCCAGCAAAGAGGACGAGAGGAAAAATTATAATAGATATAAAGCATAAAAAGTTATATATAAAAGCCATATGAATTGTATAAACCAGAAAACTAAAAGTGTATACGAGAGACATCAAAGGTATAAAAGATATAAAAGGTGAGAATCTAAAAAGGAGGCAAAGGAGCATTAAAAGGTTTTAGGGGAGGTAAAAATGAAAACATAAAAATAAATGAAAACGTATTGGGTTACAGAACACTCTAATATGGCAAGCTAGGTGCACACTGAATCTAGTTTATGATGATGATTATGTTAAAGCCATAATAATCATCTGATGAATTTTGAACCTGACCTTGCTGAATGTTGCAGCGGGGTTAATATCCGAAAGCATCAGAAAGGTGTATAATTGTCCTGTACACCCTGGATGTTTTTGTAGTAATGGTAGAATGACACTAGCACAAATACCTTTGTAGTGTGAACACTGGAGAAATACACGCTCTCTTGTTTCTATGCGTCCAGAGTTGCTAGGGCATTGCCACTCCAAAGAAGGTGTCAGAATGAAGGCCCTTCTGTGCTAGGGACTGCCAACTTAGCTAGGTATGCCATGGGGGAGGCAGGGTACCAAACTGATTCATTGGCATGAAAGTTCAAGCCAAGTAAGTAGATTTCTAGTGGGTTATGGCTGAGAATTTGAGCATGTGGGTGGGGCAGGGAGAGACCCCCTCCAAGGACTGGAGAAGCCAACCCAAGCTTCAATCCCAGCACCACCAAGAAAACTAAAGCATATTCTTGGGAAGTTACTTCCCCTTACCTTTGCCTTATACCTTATAGTCAAAAACTGGTGAGATATACCTGAATCAAATCAAAGGCAGCGTTAAGAGTAGGAAGTTGAAGTCCTGGGCTGTTCTCTAGAACTCAGAGTCTGCTTCAGCCTCCAAGGTAGGACCAGGACCCTTGAATTATGACAACACCGATCTAGTGATGTCAGTGTTCAAGCAACCCCAGTCCTTGTGGGAATATTAGTGGGCAGCTCTTAGCACCCAGCATTCAAAGCAAAGATGTCAAGTAAGTTGCAAAGAGAGGTGGCCCAGCTTATCCAGCAGTCCATCGGAGATAGACTTGATCCTGATGGGCTTTGCTTCAAGAAGAGAGGCCTCTGAGAGTCAAAGCTAAGTGACCTGTTCTGCAGAACTCCTGGTATATTGTAGAGGAGGCTTCCCCATTGTGGAGTTCTTCCTAGATATCGGGGCCTACAACTCCAGAATTCTGGAGCTTTGAGAACTCATCGTCCCAATACATCTGGAAAACCGCAGGTTGGGGAAAGTGGAAGCTGCAGCAGGGTGCTTCTGTTTTTGTGGATTTTTCATGGCATTTTACTTGAGTTCCTGAGGACAGCACCTCCCACTAGATTCCATCTGTGTTCTGTCCCAAGCCAAAAACCTGCACTATGTCTCTTCACTGGTTGCACTAGGAGCCTCTTCCTGGAAGGGCTCTATTTCCAGAAAATGAGAAAGTTTGAATTTCTGCCACTTGGACATCTTTCTCCAGCTTGGCATCAGCCAGCAATTTTCAGACTTGCCAGCCAGCACAGGCCAACTCATGCAGAGGGTGCCTAGCTGGGAAAAGCTATCTAAGCCTAGCCATCTCCTAGCTAGAGTGTGGGATTCATGACTGTCCTCCTGTACAGAATTCTTGGGTTGGTGGCAGTCAGCTAGCCTATAGTTTGAACTGTCAGAAACACTATTAAAACACTAACATTTTTTGGGGGTGGTGGTGGTAGAATTCTGCTTCTTACCTCAAGGATGCATCACATATCCAGCTTCCTTCCTTTTATAGGAGAAGGTGGTTTATCCCTCAATTTTTATTGGGGGACTTTGAATTAAAGAAAGTCTGAAAGGACATCACTGTTGGGTCTCCTCTTGTTGGCTATCCTGCAAGACTTTTTCCCTGTCTCCCTTTCCTTCCTTGAATGGCATCTGGAGCATATCTAACAATCCTGTTAATTGGGAGTGATGGGAGTTGTAGTCTAACCCATATCTATGACAACGGATATCCTGGTTGCTTGACTGGAGAACACCTCCCAAGAATTACTTTGCCACGTTCTTTGTCCATTTCCAGAGACGTAAATGTGTTAGTCTGTTGCAACAACAAGGGATTATGGAATTTGAAGCCCGTAGCACACCTGGAAGAAATAGTTGGGTGTAGAATTATGAGAGTCTGCTTTGAAGTGAGATTTGAACCCAGATCTCCCCAGCACCGTCCCCTAACTTCATTTGCTGAGTGGCTCATTTTCTTCCCAATTCACTTTGACAGCTATGTAAACCCTGGAATGAAGCAGCTGAACAAGCACCAGAAAAAGAACGGAGTGCGGGTAAGTCCCTGGTCGTGGGTGGACCGAAGCTGGTTTCAAAGTGGAGCAGTCTAGTTCTGCTTTAGAAACCTCTTACGACAAGTGGATTTTACACAGTTCCAGCCACTGGACAGTTGTAACAATAATGCATGTTTACCTGCAGAATTGTTGTGTATAAAAGCAGTTCCAACTCCCTCCGAGATCCTAAATGCTTCATTACCCAAACTTTGAGCAAAGGGCCAGCCAGTTCACCTTCCAGTTGGCTGGGGGCCTTCACCGGGGGTGCTTCAGAGAAATGCTGTGCAAAATGCAGAGGGCACCACTGCAAGGGGAAGTGGGCCTTTGATCTGGATGCCTTCTGTCTAGTGGCAAAACTTATATTATACATCAGTATAATAAAAACAGCCTAAAAGAAGATATTCTGCCTGAGGAAGTGGCAAGCCGGGATCTTCTAAGGCCTGGAGCATGTGGGTTTGGACTTTGGAGCAGATTGAGCTAAGTCAATCTGCAACCTAGATAGTTGCTAGCTCTGTAGAGCACAGTGGCTGGGTTCACACAACAGTTGGGTCATAGGGACTGTGTCATGAAGCAGGCTCTGCCCAGATAAATTCACCGCATTGTTTTTCATGCAAATATTTGCTTAAAACATGCTCAGGTGTTGGCTGAGTTCCTATCAACAAATGCCAGTTAGCATTCTCAGCATTTCATTGTTTAAGGTTCTTCTTGGGGAAAATAGAAACTGCCTTCTACTCTGTGGAGGAAGAAAGGACACTGTGCCCAAACCTGGCACAGAGAAAGAACTGCCTCCCTGCTTTCGCAGTTTAATGGCACCCCCCGACTGAGCAAGAAAAAGAGTAAAAGTTCCTCAAGTTGACCTTGATTCCTGGTGGCAGTGGATATGTTTATGTAGCATTCTTGGCCACCGTACAGCTGGGGCTTGCCATCGACTCCTTGATGGATTGAATATGTGCCATCAAGTCAGTGTTGACTGTGAGCAACCACATAGATAGATTTCCTCCATGACGATCTGTCCCTGACTTGGTCTTTCAGGTCTTCCAGCAATGCACCCATCACCACTGTAACGCAGTGGTCCATACACCTGGCTGCTGGTCACCCTCTTCATTTTCCTTCCACCTTTCCCAGCACCAGAACCTTCTCCAGAGAGCTAGACCATAATGTGTCCAAAGGAGGATAATTTGAGCCTGGCTGATTTGTTTGATGATCCATTTGTTTGTTTTCTTGGCTGTCCATGGTATTTTCAAGTGTCTTCCCCAATACCAAAGTTCAAGGAAATGTGAGGGTTCTGATGCAAAAATATTTAAACTCTCAAATGATGTTTTAAACCAGTGTTTCTCAATCTCAGCAACTTTAAGATATGTGGATTTGAACTCCCAAAAACGTTAAGATGTGTGGCTTCAGCTCCAAGAATTCCCCTAGCCAGCATCTTACGAGATTGAGAAACACTGTTTTAGACCGTAGGGGTTCATAGCCTTAGTAGAGGTCTTTCCTTGGCCCCTGTAATGAGTTGGGGGCCTGTAGAGATTTCTCAGCAAGACGTGACTTGATTTGCTTTGCTGTGCAGGCATATTGGTGTAGTCTTTCTCAGTGGCTTCTGTTCTCCTATGAGGCTCACCATGGAGTTGACTTGTTCTGTGGATGTTAGCAATTGAGAAACCCACATTCCTTTCTTCTCTTTAACACAAACTTTCCATCTCTGTTGTGGCCAACTTGAGAGTCCCAATAAGCTCCACTGAATTGAGATCAACCCATCTAGTTCTTCTTAAGGCTAGCTGGGTGGAGCCTTGGGACATTTGTAGTGTTGATCGTGGCCCAGCAACAGAGCCACCAGTTGTGAAAAAGGCTGCTGAGTTGGTGACAATAGCCTGTCTTAGCCAAGGGGAGATGGGTGGAACTGCCAAGGCTCACAGGGTATCTTGAGGAGATGGAAACCAGATCCTTTAATACAATTGGCCGGTTTTCTCAGACTGAGCTTGAATGGATTCTCTTGTTCTGCTGAGTCGCATAAAAATCTCACCTGTTCCTGGGGCTGGATCTTGCCTTCAGATGTTTCCCACATTCATCCATCCAAGCCTCTCTTCTCCAAATAGGAGTTTCTCATTTTTTAAGGGTTAGTGTGTAATTAACTTTGAGGCTGAACCTAGTTAATTCCTCTGGATGGGAGATCACCAGGGGAATCCCAGGACTGTAGTCTTGACTGGTAAGTTGAAAACAGATCCTGGAAGAAGATGATGGCAAATCAATTCCATATTCTTTTTCTGCCATTGCTCCTGTCATCTGGAATACCGTTCCCCCACCCCAAGGTCCATTTGGCCCCATCCCTGCTCTGCTTTGGAAAGGCATTGAAGATGTGGCTTTTCGAACAGGCCAGAGGCCAAGAGCTTTGTGATGGGAGGGCTGTTTTTTTGTGAACTTCCCCATTGGGTCGATTCCTTTTTATAGTTTTTGCATTCTGATTTTGAGGTGGGTTTCTTTTTTCTTTTTTAGTTTTTAAGGTAAGCTACCTTGAATCTTTCCAGTTTGGCTGCTGTAAGTCTAATAAATAATAATAATAATAATAATAATAATAATAACATTGTTGCTAAGAAAATTACTACATGGATATGTCGAGAGGTGTCCATAGAGAGGGAATCAAAAAAGTCAAGATGGCAGCCACAAATGTGTGATCAAAGCCTCACCCCTTCTTTATGTGTGTCACAACTCCTGTAAAAAAAGGGACAGGGCTTCAATTGCATGATTGTGGCTGCCATTTTGACTTTTTTGACTCCCTCCCTGGCATATGTCCATGAAGTCACCAGGAATTGAGGTCAACTTCAGGAAGTCTGTTCCTTGCCAGTAGAGCCTCCAAAGCACAGACAATGATGTGTTATTGTTGCTAGTATTGATGATGATGATGATAATGATGATAACGATGATGTGGCTGTTTCTGGCATTCAGAACTATCCAGGTATTCCTCAGAAGGCAACGGTTGCAGCAGGATGGAGGCGGCAAACAAACCTTCCCTGTGTTATCCAGTGAGTGGCTCCTCCTGTCCTCGGAAATTCCCTCTTGGGTTAGCGAAGGGAGAGATGGGGATACTCAGGGAAGGGCAAAGGCAGAATTGGCATGGTTCTTTTTCCCTGAAGTTGTTTGTTAAATTTATATCCCCAGGGCCTCAGGCTCTGGACATCCTTCGTGCTCCCTCCTCCAATTTTCCCCACAACCGCCCTGTGAAGGAGGTTGGGCTGAGAGTGGCTGTCCAGAGCAAACTCAAGGGGTCTTCCCAGGCTTACCGCAGCACTACGTCAGCAAAGCTTTTCCTTCTTTCGCGTCTTAATGGCTTTTTCTGATAAGAAAAAAGATGGACAAAATGATGGGAAAATGCAAGAGGGGTTACGAACAAGGGATCGAGCCTTGCCCCCCCCAAAAAAATTCGGCTAAAATCCCGAGCTAGAAGGACTCAGAGCTGAAGTTCTCTCTGCTTGGGGTGGAATGTAGAGATTCATTCGTGCCCCATTCACAGAATTGCAAGGAGCCCAGGTCCTCCACAGGCTTTCACGGCTTATTTATTGAGGCGAAAATGGGAATAGTTACACAATGTCCTCTGACCAGTCCTGCTGGGAGTCTTCCCTTGGAAAGCACTGCAGGAAAGGAAGCCGGGACTTCTGCTTTTTTCGTTCCAGCGTTTTCCGCAACGGCGACTTGCTGAGCCCCCCCTTCCGAATGATCCTAAGCAGAAGCACCCTGCAGGAATGGAACATCGTCCTCAACCTCTTGTCAGAAAAGGCAAATCTGCGCACCGGAGCTGTGAGGAAGTGAGTTCTGTCAGTGGTTTTTACCATCCTTTGCTCTTTCCTTGGGCGGGGGGGGGGGAACCAAAGCCTCTGCCACCCCCCCTGCTGCCCCAGAACCAGGCTAGTCCAGCCCCTGAGAGATTCTCTGGCTAAGGTCTGGAGGGGGCTGCCTCCTAGGAATCTTTCTGCATGGAGGTCTTGACACTAATCCTTGGCTGCAGTAGAGCTGAGGGACCTTGTCTTCCTGGAGGCATAAACACCAACTGGTTATAATTTTTGGGAATTCTGCACCCAGGGAAAACTTGTTGCTTCAAGATTACATGGAACAGCTTTGCTTGCAATAACTGCATGAGAGAGCTTTCTAGCTCAAAAAGCACCTCAGTTTTATATCACCTTAATTGTCATAGTTCAAAAATCCCAGGTTTTTGGCAAAAGGACTGAGAATCTGCCAGAGGAATCCCAGTACTGAATTTCAGGGAAAGGAAAGTCATTAAATGATATGTTTATTGTTTAACCTGGCCAGATAAAGCCGCAGCAGGTGCCTTGCCCATCCTCGTAAACTTGTCTAGTGTTCATCTTGGATGGTTTTTGTTTCATGGCTTAGTGTGTTTGTGAACCCAGCGTACATTTTAATATAGTGCACCAGTTCAGAAACAGGTAAATTCAGTAATCAGGTTAAGGGTGTATTTAGCGTACAACCATTTTGAGATATCTCAGTAACATGTATGTACAATTGTGATGCAAAGTTCAGTCGCAAGTTTGAATGCCCATTCAAACTCTCCATCATTTTAGGCAGCACCATGTACGGTCTGAAGGCTGATAACCATTGTGTTTCATGTTTTAGTTCAGAATTATAGGAAACACAGAAATTTTTCTTGGCACTGTCTGTGATCTTGTACATAGCTGGTCCCACGTTCTTCAGAGAAGCTTGCTCTAAGAGGATTGTGTGCTCCTTCCTCAAATTAGTCCCACGTTTCATGAACTTGTTTCGGCTTTGCTCTTCTCCCTCCCAGGCTCTGCACACTGAATGGCGACCTCATCTCCAGGGGCGAGGAGCTGGTGAACGGCGACTATTATGTGGCCGTGGGGCTGGAGAAATACAAAGATTTGCCTTACTTTGAACTGCTGGTACCCCCCAAAATGGTTCATCGTCCCTTTCGGTAGGCGACTGAGGTGCCTCTGCTTAGCTCAGCTTTCTCAGTTGGGTGCCAGGTGGGGAAAGATGGATTTAAGTGGCAGCCAATCTGGCACACATCCAAATAGTTGAACCTATGGCCCTGAAAGGCTGGCAATCGCAGCCCCCCTTGGGCAGAATATAGCCCCTTGGAATGGGAAAAAAGGAAGATAGGCAGCACCGACATCCTCTGCCCAAGCACCTCTCTTTGTGCTCCCAGTCTTCTCCTCCCTAAAGGATTGTTTAGGAGAAACAACATGAGACATTGGGAAAACTTGGGAGAGATCACAAAGGGATAATGAAGTGTCCTGGATTCTCTGAGCGGGAGACAGGGTGTGCTGTGCATACAGCCACTGTGTGTCAGCCCTTCAAGGTAGACCAAACTAAGAAAGCAATGCCATGTAGGTCAAGCCTACTTTTGTTGCAACATCTATAGCAGTGTTTCTCAACCTTGGCAACCTTAAGATGTGTGGACTTCAACCCAGAACTCCCCAGCCAGCTTCCCGTCTCTTCCTTTATTTCGTGAGAACTAGGGAGGGCCTTGTCTGAGACCCTTTCTCAGGCTACTGTTCTGGTCCAGACTCAGATTTCTGTTATCTGTTGTCTCGGTAGCAGCTTTTCCTCCTGTTCTTCAAGGTTATTCCTTCTTCCCATTGCACTGTGAGGTGTCTCAGTGAGGCAGGAAAAGAGCTGCGTGTGCCCTGTTTGGAGTCTGAATTTGCTGCTTCTCTACTCATAGGAACTTTCCTACTAACAGAAGAAGGAACTACAATCAGGGGGTAAGTAGCCACGATGGCTGATTTCCTAAGGCAGTACTGTGTGAAAAGAAGCAAAGATACTTTGCATATGAAGGATGTGTGTGATGCATAAATGTTCCTGTTAGATTTTTTAAAAAATAGCTTTTGCAGACTATGTCCGGGTTGAACAGATGGGTCGTATATGACCATGTCATCTAGTGAGGGAAAATTTATGTTGCTTGAGCTGAGCAGACCCTCAACATTCTTATTCTTCTGGATGCTGTTGTGGAAGAATTCTGCTTAAGTAGCTCTTCCCTTTCCATTTTCCCCATAGATGCCATCCTTCTAGGAGACCACAGACTGGACATTTCACTTCTTGGGAGAGCCCCAGAGAAGAGGGTCCTTTTTCTTCTCCTTAACTAATATTGCCAATGGGCATGGGATCCATTAACAGGGACCAAATTAAAACATCACACTCAACTGTTCTCTTAGAAGGCAAAACACCGATTATGGGTCTAAATGTGTTTTATTAAAAATGGGGAGAAGCAGCATGTTGCAAAGCACAGTGTGAGCCTCCATCATCCCAAATGCCTCTGGGCCCCAAATGGTAAACTGGAGGAACATCTGTCCAGTGCAGAGGCGAGAGAATATGTCCACCTGCCCAGAAAAAGCGTAAAGTAAGGAGTGGTGGCACAGAGTCTTCTGCAGGGGGAGGCAACAGAAGAGGTGGCAGGTAACATTCTGTTAAGTTGGCGAGCTTCTATTGCATTCCTGTGCTGTAGTAGATGGGTTATGTGTCATCTTGTGAGAACACCCACAACATGTTCCAAAATTCCTTATAAGTGACCTAGGTGTGCTCAAAAAAGAAAATCCATCTAAGTGGTCATTTATAAGAGGGAGGGAAAGAATAAGATGGCTATGTGTTTGATCTTTATAAAATTGAAGTCTTTGGGGGTTGGGGGGGTAAAGTGTTTCTTAACTGGTACTAATCAAGATTAAAAAAAAATAAAATGCATACAACAGTGTTCCATTTCACAGTATTTCTCTAAGGTTTTATCAGTTTTTCTTTTAACATCAGTTAAAATCAGAATCAGCAAAATCTTATGTTGTTATTTACCTGTCTAGTTACGTATATTCACTTATGTTCTCCAGTTTGGTGAGTTCCAGGTGGCTTCCCAAGATGGAAGCAGCGACTCGGCACTCCTTGAACCAGCACAACAGGTAAAGCGAAGCAACAAGTTTGGGGGTTTTAGTCTGCCAAACTGGACGTAAATCCAAATGTTCAGGACTTTACTGTTTCGTGTTGGCTGAGAGTGGGATTTTATATTATCAAATACCTCTAAATTACATGTTACATGATATATGCATTGAGGTTTCTGCAATAATGTATTTTCATTTTGGGGGATATATTGTATTTTCTCCACAATAAAAGGCTTGATGCTAAACTTCTAAATATTGTGGTCCACTTGTGTGTACTGGAAAGCCTGAGCAAAGTTTGACAAGGTTCTCCTGCCTGTATCCAGCTGACTGGTATGGAATAAAGTGGAAACAATATTTCCTGAGGCTTCAAAAGTGGGCTTTCATCAACATAGCCTAAAATCCTTACAGCCGCCTTGCAGTGCTGGTTTGTGTTTAACTTGTGATCATCAGGGGCGTCTGCAGGAGTTTGAGTGTGTCAAAAAAGTCAAGATGGCGGCCACAATGGCCCAACCAAAGTTCTACCCTTTTTTTTTTTACGTACAGTACACATAAAAAAGGGGGCAGAGCTTTGATCGTGTAGCCACAGTTGCCATTTTGACTTTTGTAAATGTCCTACTGCTCCTTTTTTTCTTTTAATCATTTTTATTAAAAGATTTTATTTATTTATTCAATTTATATTTATAATTTACAAAGATTTAAAAAACTACAGAAACATAGAAGAAGAAATAGAAAACGAAAAAGATTATGAAAGAGTAAAAGAAAAAATGAAGAATAACAAAAAGAAAGATAGCTAAAGAAGCGACTTCCGATCTTCTTTGCAGCAGCTACTAACATAGCAATTACCATCTCCACCCTCCCATATCATAGATCCCTTCTTCCCATAAACAAACATTTTAAATCAATAAATTCTGAAATTAGTAGTTCATTTTTATCCCTTTTCAGCAAAAAGCCTACAAAGGGTTTCCAGGCCTTATAAAAGTATTTGCAGTTCCCTCCTTGATCAAACAAGTCCGTTCCTTTTTTTCTAAATGTAGAAACTGGCATTTCACTTTTAGCTAAGACTTTGTAAGGGTTTTATTAAAACCAGTCTTGAGTTACTGGGGAGGTAGGTTTGGGTGGAATATTAGAAGAAACATGGTAATGGTAATAGTTTCCAGTCATCTTAGCCCTCTGCAACCAAACCATGGAGTCTTGTGTAAATCAAAGACACGCTTCTCTGGGCCTTGTGGGTTCAACACATCTGGTTTGGGGACGTGCGCCTTAAAATCCTGCAGATCCCAAATGTTGCCAAAGCTGAGTCAGATCCTGTCCTGGGGGTCTCCCTAGACCAGTGTTGTCCAAACTTGGCCACTTTAAGATGAGTGGACTTCAACTCCCAGAATTCCCCAGCCAGC